TAGTCGTGCGTACTCAATGCCTTCTGATTGTTTTTGTCAACAATGTCCATCTCTTTTCAGTTTTTCATCGATTTCGACAAGAGGTTCTAGGGCGTTTAGCTTTTTGTTGGTCTTTTGCGGGAGGACTGACGTGATATTCACACGAAGACTGGTGAGAAAATGAAGCGTGCTTGGAACGAAGTTCATTGAAATGTTGAGGAAGATTCATAAACCGGGAAAGCCAGGTTGTTCTTGTGTTTTCATTCACACTGTCCCAGTCAAACATCATCGGTAAGTGCAAAACGAATAGCAAGACAATCAGGAAGTCAGCTCCGTCTGCGATCTCTTGTTAACTGATTAAACTTTGGTAGCAGTCACCAGTAATGGGGATGGACTGGGTCCTTGAGCCTCTATTTCGGGCTTGAAAAGTACAGGAAACACATGAAAAGTATCTACATTTTCTAGGCATCACCTATGGGCCAGAGTAGTGAATTCGGCCTCTATAATTCTCTAATGGATTGCAATCCCTCATGGTGCCTAAGGTACCTGTAAAGCATAATCTGTCACGAACAGTATCTCGAAGTTTCCACAGCTGGATTTTGCTGCGCTGTTTCGCAGCGACGGTACCCTTCTTGTTGTCAGGCTGAAACGTTAATGACGGTGACAGGCCATGAGATGGCGTGCCCTTCAAGACGGCGTTCCTCCCTCAGTAGAAAGGTTGTCTGCGGCGTCACCACACTGGTAAATCGATTGGAGTGGCTCATATAGTACACAAACAGGCTACTGCAATAAGAATGCCCCGTCAAGGTAATACAGGTAGCCGTGCGCTAAATTCTACTACGGGTAAACATCCCCGTTTCCTAGTCCTAAAAGCAACCCTATTCCAAACCTGAATCTCAATCCTAAATTTCAAAAACAATCTGAAGCTCGTCGCATTCGAACTCTCGAAATAATTACAAAGAAATGGGAAGGAAGGAAATTTCTCTCAATATACACAAGGTGGTATGTTAACGATTGTACCTCACAAATTAATTTAAATTTATTAGATACTGACCGGCATGTCTACGTGTGAGCTTACGAAATACCTTATTCCTGCGACGAGCCAAACGACAAAATCAAGTGTAAATCTGGGTGACTTTGTCCAACGTATCTACAGGAATATACAAGCGACTGCAAATTATTATAAAAAACATCCTCTATTACAAACTGGAACTTTAGGCTGTTCGGCAAAAGCCTTATTTTACATTGCGCGCAGTATTGAAGCATATAAATGCGAAAATTCCATAAAAGCGTGACTCTATTTTTACTGCTTTATTCACTCGTATTTTTGCACGAACACACTCCATCTACGGTTAAAATGTAGGTTTACTCAGTACCTAAATTACCCTTTTTTTCGGAATTTTCCGGTTTTCTTAAATAACTGTCATTTCTAGACAACATATTTTTTATTTCATTACGATGCTTACTTAACTGCTGTAAGACTTTGGGGGCCACAACTTGGGCTGATTTTGTGTAACAGGAATTTGCTTGTCAAAATCCTCGAATTTCATCAGATAGTCAATCCGCTGTACGCCGGCCTTTAGACATCACAGTGGAGACTTTACCAGTGTTAGAGTTACTGCTTTTCACAAACTACGAATGCACACAATTGACTTTAGGGATGGTAGGAAGACATTTATACACGACTGCTCTAAACTGACAGACAGGCTCAAATATCTTAGTCATCTGACCCGAGAAACAGGCACCAGACAGCGCTACCATGGGGCAAAACATGTCACCACGTTTCCACCACATCTACCACTTGCTTTAGCGGTCTCAAGTAAACCAGCCCGCGCGGTAACATCGTCTGTGATTGAACACTGCAGCAGAGAGTCACAGACTGAAAGAATGCGCCAATCAGTTTTCAAAAAGATAACGGAAACATCTCTGGATGATACTGTAATGCGCCACATCCACACACATACGAGTACGTACGGAGATAAGTAACGGAAAATTGATTTGAAATACGGTGGGGAGGGGTTTTGATGAGAGAAAATAAGAACATAACAGGTTTCCTGAGATGCCTGGTATGTAGACAGACAGAAACTTTCGAAGGATCGAAACAAGGGGAAGAAGCATGGAGGGTGCCCAGCTAGGAGAGGGGCTGCATTTTTTGGAGAAGGTCAGGGCGAAGGTTGACAGTTCTCGCGCTTTGTCCACCACCACCGGCGATGTCTTCTTCAAAGGACAGCGTCAGCAGACTGCAAGGCGCCAGGCCCAAATCAACAAGAGAGGCAAAGCCATCCTCCAGGGCGACTCGAGCCGTCGGAGAGCGTCCCAGTCCTGGCATACCGGGTGGAGACCAGAGCTTGAAAACAACAGCCTGATTGTCTAGACATTCTGCGACCCAGTTGCGAACGTCGTCCAGTGTCTCTGACGCCTGGAATGTGCCCTGCAGTGGACGGGGGATGACAGAGGAGTTAAAAGGATGTCCTAACAAAGAAAAAAGACGCCTCCCAGAGTCGCACGTAATTTACCCACGATAACAGTGCAGTTGTGCGAACAAAGCTGCCAGATGCAAACAGAAGCAAGTCACTAGGTCCGGGGCATTCAGAACTACCACCCTTGAAGCCAGAAAAATAAAAGAACGCTAAGTCAGTTGCTGATAAGAGCAATGTGTGACCACAACCTGAAAGGTATCCTTTTTTGAAGTATAATCTTTGAAGAAGGCGTAATTTGCTAACAAACGACTGCATGTTTTCTATAAAATATACTTGAATTGTAAAGAGCATCGAAAATCAATGAGAAAGAGTCATACCACAGAAGTAGCCATTTTTACGGAGAATGCTTTTTGCAGGCGTTCAGAGAGAACCTTCTTAAAAAGCCAGCATTCTGGAATGACTGCAGTATCTTGAGATTAGGCTGTACGATAATAAATAGCACAATCATCCTTAAGTAATTTCTTCAAACAGAAAACACATCTCATGGAATATATAAACTGTTGTAGGTAGGTGTAGTTTTGTCCTGCTACCCGACGAGATTATGAAAGACCAGGTCTATGATATTCGTCGGAGACTAATGAACTCAATGTAGAGAACATCCTTGCCATAGTTTTGACGCTCGTTCAAGTGATTTAAAGTCCAATCGATCAAGAAAGCCAGATCTATGAGTAACGGCACATGTTTTGGGTAAGCTCTTATTTTCGACTGACTGTAAAGAGCCTCAGACTTTTCATCTTTTTTATCTCCACATAAACTAATCTCTGACCTGGAGTAGATGAGTCGGAAAAAAGCCTTAAAGGTCCAATCCCAAATTGTCAGGAGAATATTTAAGCTAAGATATTCATAGCAACTTTCGAACCGAGCCCACGGTGTTTAAGTTCAACTGATTTATTCCAACTGAGAAAATAATTGTTGAAGAGACTAAAAAGATGAGATCTAAACAATAGAGTAGCTACCAGAAAGCACACAGGGGATGCTGGGGGACCTACTGATGATCCAAAAACCTCGAAGTTGTGCCATAACGCGGTGAAATATTGACGAAACACACGTCTGAACTTTTATTTAGTACAATTTAGCAAATAGCAGTCTCAGACGTTTTACGATGGACTATGTTTTCAAGGTGATTTTGAATTTCTTTGAGAATCGTGAATGAACATACAGGAATGACATACAATTGCTTGCTGACAAGTTGGAGCCAAATAAAACATAAGAAGACAAATATGCTTTTTGGACTCATTTGGTAATGGACCACACCTTTAATTGTTAAATTTGTAGAGCGGACACCTCTGGGCATAGTTGAGTGGGATTTTTTCAGATCGTGAAATCCCTATTCACTAATATATAACATGGTTTGCGTTCACTGCGAAATTTTTTGAGCCCCAGACGATGTTTTCTCAATAGCGTAGACGAATGAATGATTACCCCTACACGGAAAGTATGCGGTAGGCAGTTTTGAGACCTTAAGCGTAGATGCAAATGCAAGTCACACCTAACTTTCAACCGACATATACCTTTCAATAGCGCCAACGGTTGCCTTACGGCAGTCCTGCACACTAATTAGCAAAGTGTTTGGAGGGAATTAAATTATCCTAAAATAAGTCGCAAACTTCCAGGGAATTCAGGTTTTCTACGCCTCCGCCTGGCTTCTTACGCCCCAAACTAACGCGCACAGTCATCTTGAAAACACGCGAACCAATCGAGACTGAGAACTTTATATAGTTAGCCGAAAAACGGCACCAGACTCAGTTTTGAAATTTAAGGGCAAAACAGTGGCAACTTTGTTGGATTACCCCGAATGTACAACCAAGTCGACAAATTGTTGGAAAATGTTGCTTATGCCCCCCCCCCCCCCCC